TACTTAAATCTTTGGTTTTTATTAGTTAGGTAGGTTCCGATTCAACACATTGTAGTTTCATTTTTATACCTGTGATCTTGACTTTTTTACCTATTGGATGAGTACTTAAGGAGGTTAGATTTTGATAAGTTCTTTAGTGGGAATGACACTGATGAAGACTGCACATTGTAGTCGAAATACGTATCTGTCATGGATACCGAAATTAATTAAGTGGAATTAAATGGAAGTTAACCTTTTTTGATGTTTTATGTATAACCAATTTACCAAATTACCTACTCCATAAATTCGCTATTAAAATGCATTTCATACACGGAGTAATCAACTCTGCACACTGTACCGAAACACAGCATGGCACACTATTCGGCACTTTAGGACACACGTTGACAAGCAGGATACAAACAGTATAATATAAAACGGCATCACTGTCGAGTGTTGACGTTTTGCCAATCGTTGCTAAGGTTGACTTCTTTGTTTACTCCATTGGGCTTCACATTGGGTTCGAGGATCGTACCTTGCCACTTTTCGAAAAAATTCCAAGGGAAAATTCTGTGAGTATTGTCTGCATCATGAATCTCTTATCTCTTCACAACCAACAAAACCGATTCGTAGCAAAAATCCCAACGACAGAGTTCTTCCATATCATGGTCGGTCGAGAGGGTCGATACGACAGTCAAGACGACCAAAGTGAGTTCCCTTCAGCATCGATTGGTGGAATGCCTGAAAGATCGCCCAATACGACGATACGGTGGGGGAATGCGATCGGCGAACTGAATGGACAAAAAACTTCTGAACGACGACAACATTGTGCCAGCTGTGGAGGATTTTTGTTTGGTTTAACAAGATTGTTGTGCAGAACGAACGATAAAGCTGGGTGATGGGTTTTGTATTTTGGCAGGTTTGAATCCCAGTCTTGCCAAGGCCTTGCAAGGGTCTTCCGGGATGAAAATTCTCTCATTTTTCTGCGTTTTCTTCAGGTATCCTTGCCAGTCATTGTTTTCAATTGGTATGGACTTGAATGAGGAATGCACAGGACTTTATAGGGATTTCCATACAAATCCCAGTACTGCTAGGGGATGACGATACGTATTTACCCCAAATATTCCATCAGATCTGGACCGATATACGATTGCCTTAGCAAAACAGTATAGGATTTAAACAATGAAATCAGATCAATGCAATCAGAAATGTAATTACACTTTATTCCGTCAGTACATCCCATCATCAACGATCCAATATGCTCTCTTCTGTTGCACTAGTGCGTCTCGAAAGCGCCCGGTGCGATGTCAGTCAATTATAAGGCCTAGCTCGATCTCGAAATTTTGATCCGCGGGCAGAGGAGGTTTCGGTGGGATCAGTGGTCCCGCATGACAGCACTAAGTAATTTGCTGTTCGGCAAGATCCAATGGGCGTGCAGATGAACAACAACCACAGGGTACTCTCTGCAGATGCGAAGCTTATCTGGATCGCGCACCATTTCCGAAGTATGACAGATATGAAGTGGGGAGACATTTGATGGTTTTCACTGGTGGTACATTGGGGGGGCATTGGTTTTGATTGGTGGTCGAATACATGTACGAATACATAAGTGGATTGTCGAAGGTATCACAACTGCAAAAGATCGTGAACTTGGCATGCTTGGACGTGTATAATTGGGGTGTGGTAGAAGACATCGAGGTCACGTACTTCTGAGTCAATCAGAACTGTTCCGGGGATGTTGTTTCTAGGGTGGGATTGAACTTTTATCCGTTCGAGTTCTGCGTTTGAGTTTATACGGGGAGCATTTAACTCGCAACTGGTGAAAATTTCGTCCACCACTGATCAGGCTATACCTTCGTTTCTGCACACGTTTCTTGTGGACAGGTCGCATAGGTTGGATTGCTTCCAGTTACTTTTCCACCGCCCACTATATTCTCCTTCTAATTAGAATGAACCTTAATATTTGCCATGAACCATGGCCATGAATTAGAGAAATTGAAAATGTAAACACAATCACAACAGTCTAACTTGAGGGTTGCAAAACTCATAGGATACTGACACCTTGATTGATACACTTCGGCCTACTTCGGAACGATCGGCAATACGGTTGGCACAGCTTTCGGCACTGCTAAATCCCTTGGCACAGATTAAGGTGTGCAGAATTCAATAGCCCTTGATTTAATATAACATATAACGTCATAAAATACACATAAGTACGTCACACATTTTTTTTTATTGGGTATCGTCGTTGTGTTTTCAAGACTTGCATTATTTGAATAAATATTGCTTCTATCTGTGACAAGACAACAGTAAACAACAGAAATTCTACTCAACTTTGAGTTAGTTTCATCGGCCGTGTACGGCGTCTAACGATGTGACAACCGTCATATCCCCAGACGATCTGAAGCAAAACGTACAGGTAAGCTCTTTTATAACCTCGCAACCGGTCGTCTATCTGTTCTCTCGATAGCCATAGGAAGCAAGCATGTGATTAGTTGATTGCGGCCTAAAAGGTTGATCAATTTTCAATATTTTACTAATGATAAATTACTATAATCTTTATACCAAACAAATCTTACATCAATTTTGAATCAAAGGGTGTGAATTTTTTTTTAAATCCATCAATAAATGGGCAAATTATAAGCGTTTAAAACCTAACACTATTTCGTTGCCGTTTTTTTATTTGCACTCCAGTATAGTTCACAAAGACCTAGTCCTACGTAAAAAAACAGCGTTATTTAAAAATTCGTCGTAAAAAACTGAGCAGTTTGCTTGAAATTTTTTTCGGTACTTCTAAGTCCTGATCATCTTGAAAATTTTCCGGATCACCTAGCCCTTCCAGATGCTCAGTTCAGATCATTCGAAATTTTCTCACAACGCAGTGGTAGTGTGAACACGAACTTAGGGGCTGTCTATAAACTACGTAGAAATGGGGGGGGGGGGGTGTTGGAAATTATCCCCAGCCCATACAAAATTATTTTTTTGTATGGACAATTCTCTACGCAGGGGGATGGGGGGGGGTCAACTTACACATTATTTTTTTATGTTGTGAACCAGGGTTTTGGCTCTAGTTTGAAACTGGCCACTCCTTCGGGGGTACCTCAGGAATTCTTGTTTGTGAATTCTGCTGTGTCGCATGTCTTCGAGGGTACCCAGAATATGGTCAGATTTGGACAATGTGATACTGGATACTCAGTTTGGCCGTTATTGATCTTGTTTTAAAAAGCTCATGGGTTTTGGTCCAGAAAGTGGCCACTTCCTCGGGGGCTAATCGAACTTGGCTTTGAATTCTCATGTGTTCGAATGTGTCAAATTATGTATTTGAATCGGTTCAGGTCGGTTTTAGTTTCATGAACCATATTCACCGGAACATGTTCTAAACGTATCTCCGGAACCAGTTGACCGATTCCAAACATATGGGACTGTAATACCCCTCATTTGGCAATTGTTGTGTCCAATTCGGTTCAGTGGTTGCCAAGAAACATGAGTTACTTTATTTCGTTACACACATACATTTTCCGGCCCCTGAATTTAAGATTTTGTCAAGGCTATTTTTCAAACAGACGGTGCTGTTCGCATTGCTAGTAAGTAATAAAAATCCCCATATAGAAATTTGGAACCCAAAATTTATTTTTATAATTGAATTACATTTCTGCCATGTTTAGACTAGACAGCTGTAAAATTTTAAAAATTCGTTTTTTTGTAATATACGAATAATGTATCACAATTGTTCTGGTATCTTATAAACAATTTATAACACAAGAGGCAAACCAACTCAGGACTGAAAGACTTTATAATAAAGTAAAAGAAAAGATTATAACACGTTGCAACTCCTAGTTTGAACATTTGAACATTTTGTGGCACTTTTCGTCGTTGTAGTCGTCATAGGCACCGTGTGTTAATGGTTACAACAACAACTCGATCATAAGTGGTGAAATGTGATATGAGGGGTTCGGTGGCCTTAGAGCGACCATTTTTGCTTACTGAGCAGAAATCGATGGGATTAGTCTCAGACCCCAATGAAGAGTCATTAATCGCTTTCTTTTCTAACACAAACAAATCATTTTCATTCGCCGTACCGTTTACCGCCAACCCTGCTGCAAACCCAACCCAGTGATATTTCGTGGAAGTACAGAGAATTTCTCTCGAGTGTCATGTCAACACATGGCTAACTATTCCTTGACGTGGTTGGCGCATCATGGCATCGGTTGGTTATCTGTGTAATTACAGGAGATCTGGCAATAATGAAGTTGCAACCGCGGCCGGTCAATCATGCTCATGCTGTTAAATGAATCCTTTCGTATATGACGCAGCGCATTCGGGGAAACAAACTTTGTAAAAAAAATTTAAAAAAATTTCAAAATCAATAAAAAAAATCCGATGACTAGGGGAAATGACTCTAATGGATCTATGATTGGGCCCATCGCAAAAAATCCACTATTTATCAATTGTATCTATCTGAACGCGTCATTTAGACGGTACTAATGGCTAGTTTTGGTCCCTATTGAAAATTTAGTCGATTGCTGAATTAAGTATGGGCCCAAATTAGGGGCATTTAGTCCGACTTTACATCCATTTCCCCTATATTACAGAATCTGTTCATTGAGAGCTGTATGAAAGCTGAGCCAAAAATGAACTACAACCGAAAAAGATGGATGTTTACAGTATACTTTGGTGCAATAAGACCACTGAAAAAGGGCATGCGTTTCTTCGAACATAATGAAATATGACAAAATCGAGTCATTACTGTATTGCAATCCATTTGTATAAAACAGTAAGTTGGTATTAATCAACCAAAGTAACCTGAAATCTGAATCAAATGGCAACTCCTTCTTCCCCCTTAACCTTAACGAAAAATAATCCATCAATACAGCTTATTACAGGAAACCGATCCCGCAACCATACCTCCCCGTTCCACCCCGCTCAAACACAAGAGAAATCAATATTCCAACCATCTCGTTCAAACAATCCTCCCACCATTTACATCTTCCTTCCTCCTTCGAGAGAGAGAGCTGTACACCTACCTTGGTTTCTGCGATTTGTTCATATCCAAATCGCCACCTTTACCTCCCGTCGACTGCAGCGACGAGGAGGACAAGGATGACAACGACGAGGACGACAGCCCGGATGATCCTGGTCCAGAAGTTATTCCGGCCGATCCTGAGTTATTTGCTGCGGCTGCTGCTGCCGCCGCTGCCGCTGCCGTACTGAACAAGTACAGATTCCTGTTACTGCTGCTACTTTTCTTGCTGCTGCTATGTTTCATTGCTCCATCGTGTGCTACACATTACAGCAGCGGAAAGTGAATCTTCCCGGACTTGATTATCATACTTTTTTTCCCTCCCTATTTCACTCTACACGGCGCACTTGCACAACTTGTTTCCCACTGGAAGTTTGATTGTTTGCTCTGAAGCTCAACGAGACGTGCAGATCTTAGCCTGCTATCTAGCTATTTCTCTTCACCACCGCCAAGGGATTACACCAAAGCACCGGTTCAATATTTTTCAACGGCGGAGTAGTTTGAAATTTTCCGGTGCATACAAAATTTTCTTCCTACTGCTTCACTGAGTAGACACGCCACGTGATGCCGTACCGGTGGAAGTGTGGGAGGTAAATCTGCACTAGTTTCCGAAACAAACAAAAAATGCACGGTTAACGAAAAAATATAATCTCAACTGCAAGCACTAGTTTCGAGGGGACGTTTCACCCGCGTTTCGGCGACCACCACCTCGGTGGCTGCCCGAAGTTGCCGCAGAACGGTGCTACCAACAGCTGCGATTGCTGGAGTAGTAGTAGTGGTAGTAGTGGCTGTCGTAGTTGTAACCCGTAGGTCGTTGTTGACGTGCTCGTCTGCTGCGTTCCACTGGCACCCGAACCGAAGACGAGTGCATCTTGTTGCATCTTGATGGGCGCGATTGTTCGCGGAGCGGTAAAGTGGGCACCACTTGGAGGTTGCACTCTGAAATGGGAAGTAGAGAGAGAGACGGAAACATAGAAAATAAGAAGGTGAGAAAAATTGTGTTTGGTGCGTAGGTGACGACGATGGGGCTCATATTTCAAGGGTTTTTGAGCCGACAAGTGGTGCTGTGAGCAAAGACTGCCGTCGTTTTGTCGAATGGGCTCACTTGAGCCAGAAGGATGGATTGAATATGAATGAAAAAAATCCAAATTATGAGGTATGTAAAGTAATTCAATTAAATGCAATAAAAAATGTAATTTTGAGCAATAGAACAGGATCAGCATTAGCTCACTCTACGGAACAGGAGAATAGGGTAAGTTGCCAATTGGTGCACACTTCGCATTGTTTACTGTGCAGCATTTATCCATGACCATGACATTTACCGATCAAAATGGCATGTTATTCACTGATCAATTGCTGAATAATAACAAATCTCGAATACTTTTTCAAAGGGTCCTAGGTAGCAAATGAAAACAAATCGAGCTAATCGATACAAACAATCGCTCTGCTATCATTGCATGTGCAACAAAAACACCTATTTAAATTTACTTCTATTTGTTTAAGATAATCATAGGTAATAAATAGTCCACGCCCTGCCTTTAAAAAATGAGCACGAATCAGCAGTCAAAATGTCCGAAGTAATAATCACGTACCCAGCATTTCAAACTGTACATTGGACAATTTTTTACCTATGATTATCTATATATATATGAAAATGAATTTCTTTCTGTCTGTCTGACCCTTATAGACTCGGAAACAACTGAACCGATCGGTGTGAAAATTTGTATGCAGGGGCCAGGAAAGGTTCTTATGATGTTCCCTGAAGCATGCATTTTTGAATCGGCGCATAAACTCAAGCTAATATTGAATCCTGAGCAAGGCCAGGCACACTCAGCTAGTCTTAAATAAATGAACATAAATTTGGATGGGTGTTTTTATATCACATGCAATGATAGAAGAGCAATAGTTTGTATCGATTAACTCGATGTTTCCATTTGTTACTTAGAACCTTTTGAAAAGTTACTCGTATTGCATCGTATATTTTCCTTCCACGGTTGATCGGTTCAATAAAATAAATTAAATAAACTGATATCGTGAGTACAATATACCTGAAAGTTACGTTCAATCATCTATCAGACCTAGGTCAAAACTGTAAAGTACTGTGGGGCACTTTGAAATCAAGGGTTGTGTTGCGCACAGTGAGACGAAGCCGGTCGCAATTAATCATGTTACCATGCTTCTGCGTTCATTATTTTCCTTCAGATGTCACTGCTGTTCTCAATGGAGACATCTATCAGAAATTACGCATACACTTTGTTCCGTTAATTGTTATTCTCCCTTCTCTCAATTTCTACATGGGGATATATATTAGTTCCTGCCAGCGGAACAGCGCCATCTGTGTGGAAAATGGCCTAACGATATGATTCATTGGATTTTCTTTTATAACTAATAATTTGTATGCTTTTCAGATTCTCAGATATATTCAGCCCCTTATGCAAAGTTTCAGGACGATCTGACGAGAAAACTGACTGTTCTAGCTTGATCTGAAAAAGCGAACCGCCAACCTCACCGTTCTTTCCCACTAGCTCCGACCATAGCACGTCAAAAAAATCATGTGACCTGATGATGATGCTCGAGACCACAGTGCATCATTACTGGTCTAATGAGTGTACTGCTGCAGAACAAACAGGTCAAAATGGAAAACACAAATTCGGAACAAGACGTGCTCAAGAAGGATGGATGAGTGGTCCCACAGTCAGGAGAGAGAAAAAAGGACGCAAATTGAAAACTGAGTACATATCATAATAGATAAGAATCCCGGTGCTGCTGGTTGGTTGCCCCATCTCGGTATTCACGATGTGCTCTTGCTACCAAGAAAGGTAAAAATAAGAATGGAAACTCGTTCGCTCCTTCAGCTATGACGACGAGAGCATGACAGCAGATCGGTGTGCGGTGCGGAAGCAAATAAACGAAAATGAAAATCAACATCACCTTTCACGATCTGCCTTCTCCGCGGTTCCGTCGGCCGTCATCACCTTTCCCAGGAAAACCGACCAAAATTTGTAAGCAAGCTGCATCCCGCGAGAGATAGAGATTGAGAGAGCAGAAAAAAAGATAAAATTCAGAACCTGACGTTCGAGCCGCACCGCAGCTCGGTGGCGGTGATGGGATAAAGGAAATACGGAAAACTGAACGTGTTCTCAGAAACGACAAAGAAGAAGGCATATTTTTTAGGCGAGATTTCCGAGTACCAACCAAGAGAAGAGAGTACATACTTGGAAACAAATGGAAAATGAAGTGCAATGAAACGTAAACTGATGATGGCGAAATTTTATCGCTAGCAGCAGCCAAGCAAGTGCAAATATTTACTAGAGAGTGCCGATGCCGAAAGGGTATTGCACCGTCGGTAGTCTCTGCCTTATGCCGGGAGTTGTCTGCCTACAAGGTAGCGGGTGAACGAGCAACCACGTAAGGTAGGAACGCGGCGAATGACAGAGAACGGAGTTCCAGAAATCAACGCGATGCAATTTCGGAATCGGTGGCAACGATTGATACAATCACCCTACAGCAGCGCTGCGAGAAACGACGGGCGATCATCAAGGATAAAATTGATGGGTAACTCAAGGGAGAGTGAAAATTCTTCAAGTTCGACAACAGTCAGGCAGGCCAAGAGCCAAGTGGAAGTAACCACGGCTTGAGGTTCGAGGGGCGGCGAGGAAGAGTGAAATTAAAAGCGAAGAGATTTCAATTTGGCGTAATGAACTGGGATTGCGGTGATGTAACTTGCTGTGACGGTCGTTGGAGGCAAGAAGGAAGGCAAGTACCTTTCTACCATCCGGAGTTGTACGCGGGCCGGCAGCCTTGGAGGTAAGCAGAAGACGAGAGCGAAGAAAGAACGATGGAAAACAATTTAGGTGAAATTTAGAAGCACCTCTTCCAGCGAAACGTCAATCCCTGGTCGTCGTCGTTGGTGTTGCGGTGTAGTTATATTCAAGTGTGCGTCGTCTCAGAGCCTCGGATCCGGACGTGCGGAACACGGGAAAATGGAAGTTTCTTTCGATGATGGATGGCGATGATGAAGTAAGCGAAAAGTTTTGGATTTGCTTGGAATATCGATGGGGAAGATGAGGAGAGAGAGGGAGAGGGAGAGCAAGAACGAGACTGGGGCAGGCACCTGGTGCAGATTCAACTCTGATTGCATATCATCGTCGAGCGAACGAGACGAGAAGTTTGATTGTGCTGCCGTAGTTTTGACAAGTGACGCACGTCTTGTGGTATATGCATACAAAGCATACTAGTTCGTAGCTTGTTGAAACCGTTGAATTAATTATTGGAGGTTGTGAAATTTAAATAAACCTGAAATGAACGTTAATGCGTTGCCAATGCAAGGTATTCATAATAAAGGAACAACATCTGAGGCAACTACAAAACTATGTACTGGATATTGTAAGGATTACAAAATAGGTAGACTACAGTGGGCTGGACATATAGTTCGGAAAGAGAATCTGTGTTTATAAATTCATCCAAAGTTCCAAATAACTAAAACAAAAACAAAAATATAAAACATATAAAACATATAAAACAAAAACAAAATGTCTATAGTAAATCCATTCCATCCAGAAACAGTAGATTGTTGGATTTCCAATGTCTTTCCAATGGGTCGGTGCGAAAGATGTGCACAGCAAAAATAAATTTTATTATTACATCCAAGATGCACTTCAATCATGTCGAAAATCTCATGTAATTTTTATGGCCACAAATATAAACAAATGCAGTGAGAAGAGCGTAATGTCAGTTAATGCACTGTATTAATGATCATTTTGTCCTTTTTGGTAAGTAATATTACACCATATTTTTATCCACACAAAATTGGATTTGGAGTTTAGGAAAACGCACCTAAGTATGTTTTCAAAAACTCCAAATCCAGTTTTTATCGACGCATTATTTTAAATCACTATGAACAGTGCGCATTGCATATCCCAAGTAGCATTTCTTGTTTTATTGCACTCTATTAGTGGTTTTTGAGATCAATTTTATAAAACCGTCAATAAAAGTAATAGCTCCAGCACAACCTTTTGATAACCGCTATAAGATTGTCTTCCAGCTTAGTGGACCACTCTTGATAAGGTTTATAAAGCATATTTGAGAATCACAATAAAGCTGTCTTAAAACCTTTTGTAAGAAAGCCCCATACTCTACAAAAGGTTCTCATAGCCTCGTTAAGAGTAATATTGTATCCAAGCAGTTTTATTACGCTTTGGTGAAAATCAGTTATAAAGCCAATTTAATTTGTATTGGCTTCAAAGCAACCGCCATAAATTAGCTTGTTGTTGTTCTGTTCTGCTGAAACTTTTTTCATTCCACATGGAAATCTTTAGCTGTAAAAATAGGGTTTGAGTGTTGGTGTCAAGATCACCATGCAATCAATTTTGTTTCATGGCGGCATTAGTGAAAATCTTAAAGAAAATATATGACTTTTTAGAAGTTCCAAAACATATGCGCTTGAAATTTTATCGTGTATATTGGGATAATATGAGCGTTAAATAAATGCGCCTCCAAAATAATTCAAGTTAACAAAAAAGATTGTTTAAGAAATCAAATGAATTCGATGGAATCATCTTAATTTTTCAGAAAATAGATCTCAATAAATAAATTCATACCAATGCACACTGGAAATCATTTCGGATCTTTAATTTAGCCATTATTTTATTTAAATTTCTTTGATTTTATTCCAAGGCTAATGGAAGTTTCGTAATGACAATATGGCGACAGAGAACAGCAGACAAGAAAAACGCCAAGCGTAATTTCTTAAAATGTCTAATGCTTACATTGCACAGAAGTCCAGAGTGGAAAAATATTTGGATATTGGGTTTTCCGCAAAATCTACTGGTTGTAGCGTTTTGATGTCTCGGAAAGAATTGTTGGTAATGAAAAAGCGCATCTTTTCATTGGATCAGTCATTAGGGTGATTCAGTTTTAGGTTGAAGTCAATCTAAC